GAGAGAGAGAGAGAGAGAGAGATGGGGGGGGGGGGGGGGGGTTTGGGGGCAAGGAAAACATTTAAAATTAATCGTTGTCCAAAAATAAGAAGACGAGTGTTTTGAGAGAGGAAAAACTAGATAGTCCATTTACATTATAGCATACTACCACTGTTAGAATCCCTTGCACACTTTCTTTCTTACTATGCGCACGAGTAAATACAAATTTAGTTTAGAAATAATTTTCGCAAAGCATTTTAGCAGTGGTTCTAAAAAATGACGCCATCATACACAAGTTAAGGTGTATTAACAGAATCCATATATTCATTCATTCACAGAAGCGTACGATCGTGAGTACCGCCGAGCGTACAAACGCATCATGGACTCTAAAGACCTCGCCGATAAACTTTGCGTGGAAGATAAACCACCAACCGCTAGAGTTGCTTACTGTAGGCGACTTTTCTCAATCCCAACATTACAGCCCAAGCTACCTCAATACGTCTCCAACAATCAATTACTCTAGGGAGTCACAAGATGAAGGGTGTGTCAACACGTGGTCACCAGTCTCAGCAAGGTCACGTGGTGGACTTTCAATCATAATGAACGAAGCAGAACCGACGGACTGGGGCCTACTGTAAATATCACAATGAAGTAAGAAATATTATAACGCGCTTAGTTGATGTCATAAATTCACCTCATACGTAGTTAGTTATTAAAATACTGTACGATATTAGACGAATTGAATTCATCGTATCAACTGAGTTTTACATAGTCTCTCAATAAAATAATTTTGTCCTTGAGATTGGTAGCCATCTTGAAAAGTAACCAAGCCTGGACATGGCATCATACTACGTCATCAAAGAGGTATGGTTGCCTAGCCGAAATGGCTGCCACTCCAGATACACAATATAAGACCATGTCGTAATTATTTAAGATATTCTTCTTTTGCTTAGGTAATTAAAAAAAAGTTTTCTATAAGAGGCTTTGCATCACCACGGGGAAGGAACAATTCAATCAGGTCTAATCTAGTTTATGCGAAAGAGAATTCAGTTTTGCAGGGCAAAAATACCATTGATGTGCCATCTGTCATGGCTGCTATCACTTGATGGCTACCCCACCGGGGATGGAAAGAAGCCTATATCACATAGTCCTTTTTTATAACATTGGTAGCCATCTTGAAAAGTAACCAAGCCTGTTGTTGTCGTTCTACGTCATCAAAAGGCTTGGTTACCCAGCCTTGGTTACTAGCCAGATACGGTACATAATATACGGCCATGCCGTAATTATTTAAGGTACTTTTTCATTTAGATAATTAAAAACTAGGAGATTTCTATTTTTATTTGTATAATATACCAAGAATATCTTGATCTGCAATCCATTCACAGACATTGTATGGTATACATTTAAAGTTTATTAGTTTGTGATGATGTCATAGATGAGATGAAACAGGAAAATTACAGTAAAATCGTTAACGATAGTATTTACCCATCGAAATTAGTCAATTACCGCTGTGTACCTTGATTACAGACTCATTCACTCAGGGCTAGCCTCATTTAAACGTCAAAATATTCGGTAATAGCAACCATTTGGTAATACCAACGGTAATATAAAGAATCCATAACTTCGACAATACAAACACTTTGAAATTCCACAAACCTTTAATGGAACAGATGAAAAAAATTTCCATACAAGATCGAGGTTAACTCTGTACAGAAAATTTGAAACTGGAGTATCTAATTGTCAATCGATTGTTTGTTGTTACTATACCCCGAATTGAAATATGGCGACCAATTTGAATAACTATTGTTCTGCACTGACTAGTGACTGACTAGCCTCGTGTTCGCATGGAAACATAAAAGCATTTTCACATGAATGAGAAACTAGTATTTCGATTCAGTGTAAATAGCAGTAACTTTTGACAAATAACCAAACAACGTGTGCTCAACTCCAATAAAATCATCAAATGGGGTGAAGAAATCTCTGCCATTTTAATTTATGAAATTATCACTATTAATTAATTAATTAATAGATATTTATGATTAGAAATAACACAGATTGATTAACATAAGAACATGTGCATAATTATTGGTTATTGATTTTAAAGACTTTTTATTAAGAATTGATGTCTTTTTATAATGGCGGGACCATCTGACTTGGTAGGGAATTTTTTTTTCGAGTGTTTAACGTGCCTAGATGAGTGTTCGTGTTAAGTATTCTGATTGGATGGTGTGTGCTTTCATAGCGTTTGATTGGCTCGTTATAAAAAAGCCCTTCAAATGTCGTGGCATTTAAATTTCTATTTCTACCATGCGCGCCATGTATCAGGACGGTCCATCAGGACTAAGTAAATTTTCAGCTCGTACAAATTTGCTCTGCTACCCTCAAGTCTTATCCTCAAGTCATTCAGTATGAAATATTTTGAGCACCATGAAAGGACAAACAAACAGGTTTCAAAAATATCTCTTTATCAGAAAGTTTTGTTTTTCAATGAGATTTCAGGAATACATCCTTGATTTCCACACCTAACCATTGTCAGTCCTTTCTTGGACTTGATAGATACTTGATATAATGATGATACTACCACAAGTTGTGTTATACCTTATCATTGGATTATTTATTATATTTACCTGTCATACACCTAAATCCAAAATGGCTCATGGCCGGTTGAAAATGAGGCATCCAGGGCCAAATTTTCAAATTTACAGTTTTTTCTTATAATTTGATGCTGCGAAATTATCGAGTTCCTGAATGTGAGAAGAAAAGAAAGACAGAACAAGTGAACAAGTGTATACTTTGCATTGACAACATATTATTTCTTTGCATTCAGCCCTGGATGCCTCGTTTTCATGTAACACACTCGGCCATGTGCCATTTTGGACTTAGGTACAGGAATCCCAGATGATATATTTCATGTAACTTTTGTTTTGTCTACTTTTTCATCTTTAACTTTTTAAATAACATTTCATGTGAAGACTGGATGTGAGGCGTTAGTTATTTGAATCTGTTTGTAATTTTGTACGAATTGTAAACACTATGGTTGTCTGCCATCATGGTGGAAATGACGTCACATTCACCTGTCATGGCAAAGATGACGTCACATACTGACATTTCCGGAGGCACCTTCCATTATGGTGGAGATGACGTCACAATAACAAAATTTGCCTAATAGTATATCTTCTTAAAACGGAATAAGAGATGATATTGACTTGATATGTAGTAAGCTTCAGTAGATGTAAAATATGTCCGAAATAAAAATTAAGTAGAGAGCGAGTCTGCCTTTCCTTTTGCGTCTACTTGTTTATCCAATCAATGATTAAATTAATGTTGGTATTTCCTTCAAAATTGGTTCACTAATCACTTTCTTTCAAAAACACCTTATATCTTTCTAGTTGCATCTAGACTCTGCTACAGCTCGTAAACATAAACGATGTTAAATAATTGTTGATTATGTAAAAATAAAGGAATATGTAGAAAGAAAAATACGCTGTCTTTATTTAAACAGTCTTTCTTCGTTCAAAACGTATGGGGCTATAGCCCATGCTTTTTGGCCAAAAATGACCTATTTTGAATCCTTCATAAATAATTCATATCTTTTGAAAAGGTGTGAAAATGGGCCAAAATTGATCAAAACCATGGGCTATAGTCCATGCTTTTTGGCCAAAAGTGACCTATTTTGAAATCTTCATAAATAATTCCTATCTTTTGAAAAGGTGTGAAAATGGTCCAAAAT